GAATTATTTTTCCCGGAAGATATTAAAGAGCAAACTAACGATACTTAATTATATATTAATTACAAAAAGGTATTAGTGGGCTCAGGAGGCCATGTATGTTAATCTATGCTTTATATATTTGATAATGTTTTACAAATGTTTTATTAATATCAATATACAATTGTTTTGATAAATAAATGAATATTAATGTTATTTTAATTGTTTGATTGATTTTTATTTGCTAAAGGGGACTCAAAAAACCATTTTTTTTGAATTTCCGTTTCTGTAAAAATGACCCCATATCTTGAGGTCTGCTTTCATATATTCCTTAAAAGAATTTAGACTATAAATTTGATAGTATCGATATTTTATAGTTTCAAACATATTTTATAATTTACTCTTTGTATTAAATATTTTTATTTATTAATCAATAAATTCTTTTTATATGAATGTATTATAAGTTTTAACAGTTTTCTGAAAGCGTAAATAAAACCTGAAAATTAATTCAATGAATAAATAAAAAGTTCAATTTTTAAAATATTATTTACATAATTATTATCTCTTTATACTGTATAATAAGTTACATTTACTTTCAAAGTAAGTGTCATTTAAATATATCCGATGATCTCACCTTGTAGTTAAGGTTCCCTCCCTATGCCTATGTATTACCATTATTGTCTAAATTGCACTGTAATTATCATTTCTTTTAAATGTTTTTATTCTAAACATTAAAATTATTCAGCACTTAATATTACAGTATTATACAAATAGTCGCTAATTGTTTAATAATTTGTCATTCAATGTACAACATATTAAGTATAATATTTGATGACTATTTTAAGTAAATATTAAAAACTATTTTTTTATATTAATATAAACGCAAACTCTCTGGCAGTCTCTCTCTCTCTCTCTCTCTCTCTCTCTCCTCACTAATCGTTTAAAGAGTAATGTTTTCAATAATGCTCTAAACGTTGACAAACTTTTTTAATAAAGAGTTTATCGATTTATTTCCTAACATGTTGTGAATATCGTGAAAAAACTTAATCAATAAATCGTTGCCACTATAATTTATTAACGTTTTGTACTAGATTTATATTTTCTTATATGTAAAACTAGTGTATTATGTTGTCTGCAGAGAAATGTTTAATTTGCGAAAAATTAAACTGACATTTCTCATAATACTGTTATTATCGCTATTCTGTATATACAACTGGACGTCTACCAAGATAATAGTCCGCGATTTCATATACCTGACCAGGTATTGGGTATTGTATGCTTACCATTCCCTTTAGTTTCTATGATTATTTGAATATTTGTATAATAACTTAGTTTCTATTAATACAAAAGTCGTTAAGTATTAGTATTTCAATCGATATTTTCGTTATTCTGCAAAACTTCTGTAATGAAAGCACATATTCTGCACAACTGTTTAGGTATTATATTCTCAATTACTTTACTCTTATTAAACATGCAATATTTATAGTGCTTTTTTGGAAATAACTTTGTATGCCATAGCAATTTATTTATACTTGTTATTCTGTATTTTATTATTATCTATAAATGGTTTTATGAATTACAATATTTTATAATAAAATTCTTATCTTATAAATAGTTAATTTTGTAGAGACACTATAAATTTAATATAATAATTTTTAAATATAAATAACTAGTAAACTCATACTAAATTTACCAATTATCAAAAATGTATGATCTATTTAACAGACCTGTTTGGGACAATAATAATGGAAAGCCGTTTAAAATAATTCCACATTACTATACATATGGTCTGAATTCTAGTCAATTATGTCGTCTCCACGGCTGGCAGAGGAGCACACAAGAGGTTCAAGTGATCGATACAATCATATTCTCAATAGAGTTGGACTTATTGGAGATCCGACTCAAAGAGTTGTGGCCTTTTGTCGACCACTTCATTGTCTTAGAGGCCGACAGAACTTTCACCGGAAGACAAAAACCACTTCATCTGAACGAAAGTTTACATCAGTTTATATGGGCTAAAGACAAACTAAGATATCATTTCTATGAAGGATTAGAAGAGTTGGAAGCGGGAGAGGATCCGTTCAAAAATGAGGGCAAAATGCGAAAGTTTTTAAATAAAATAGTGTCTAAATATGCCCGAAATGGTGATGTGATTATCTGCTCAGACGTGGATGAGATGCCATCGCGACAAACAGCACAACTAATCAAAGAGTGCACCGGATATCCAACTAATATGAATCTAATGCTGAGAATGTATTTATACTCATTTGAGTTCTTCCTGGTGGACGACCAGGAGAGCCGATCCGCTCACATCACTCTCTATAACGACACACACTTTCAATATACTCACGGAAGGCATTCCGACTACTTATTGGCCGATTCGGGTATTTATTATAGTTATCATTAATTAAGACTTTAATTAAGACACTGTATATATGTCTGTCCCCATAGGCTGGCACTGCTCCTTCTGCTTCCGACACATCTCTGACTTTATATTCAAAATGACTTCGTATTCACACAACGATAGAGTCATTGATCCGAAAGTGTTGGACAAGAATGAGATCCAGAGGAAGATATGCGACGGAAAGAATATATACGATATGTTACCCGAGTTTTACACCATTCAGGAGATGATTGTGAAGTTGGCGCCGATATCTAAGTCCAAAGCGATGACTCATTTGCCAAAACATTTGATTCAAAATCCGGAAAAGTTTCGCTTTTTATTACCCGACGGTTGTGTTCGTCAAGACTTTAACCAAACCATCGAAAAAAGCCGTAAATTGTAATTTAATTCACTGTTTATATTCATAATTCACAATCACTTTCCAACACAAATGTCTTAATTTATTATTTTATACATTATATAAAAAAATAGTAAAAAAAGAAAATCAAATATAAAATACAAATTAAATTATCGATAAATGAGTGACAAATTCAATGATGAAAATTGATTAACGAATAAATAACTGACAACTCATTGGCTATCACTGGAGGAACTGCTGGACGAGTCGGTGGACATCACCTCCACGTCATCCGCGTCTTTGTTGTTGGCCTTCGCATCGAGCGACGGGTGGTGTGGGTATGAAAGCGCCGACACATTGGGCTTAATATCGTGTCCCCACGCGAACGACGAGCCGCTGGAAGTGCTGGCCGTACTCGAGGGTCGGGCCATCTCTTGCTGCTGCTGTTGCTGCGGTGTCTGTCCGCCGGCGCCACCGCCGTAGCTATTCATCTGATGGGACTGTTGTGCCATTAGAGACGACATGTTGGGGTCGCTGGCGTTGGCCAACAGTCCCGACCGCATCTCCACGTCCGTGGGATAGGGCCGCCGCTGGTCCCCGATCTCCCAGTTATAGGGGGCCGACACCGAGTGGGCGGCGCTTATCTTATGCGCGTATCGGATCAGCTCTTCGGATGGTATGGCGTGAGTCGTGGCCTTCGATATGATCTGCAGCTTATGCTTCGCCTGATATATGGCTGTCGACTGCGAGGAGACAGTGGTTAAGACATTGCGTTACAACTATTGCTAACATATCGTATGTCTTAAGACATGCGATCAATGGATACCAGTATGTGTTCGGCTTCCTTGAGATTCTTCTGGAGTTGTCGTATCTGAGTGTCGTGTTTGTCCACCTCATCGCGGAGTTCGCACATATTCTTGTGGACCACTTCCTGCTCCTTAGCCATCAGGAGCTCCGCCTTCAGCTCCTTGTCTTTGGCCACCAATAGGTCCGCCAATTGGTTGCTGTCAAGCGTCGGGTTCGCGCGCAACGGCTTCGGTGTCAACACTATTTCCAACAGTTCTCTGCCGAAGAAGGGAATGACAAACAGATGGCAATGAGTGATGACTTCCATCTCAAGAAGTGTTTGTTGTTATGGATTACTTGGCGATCATTTCCATGTCGTCGGCGATGGCTATGAGTCGGTCGCGAACGCACTTCTCCGACATCGTTGTCCTCCTCTTAGCCCTTGGGATCAGTTGGTGGACAACAACAGAGATGACAAGTGAACCACCGATTGATTGGCAAACAAACTGAACGTCAACTCAAATCACACGTGAATTGAGTGCTAAATACAAAACACTAAACAAAACTTTTTTAGCCCTAAAAAGTACTCATCGGTTGCGATACGACTGTTACTAACGCTATGTTAAACACGATAACTAGTGGTGACTATTCAGTACTTTTCCATATTGAACTCGTACGCGAGTCACGTAGCCTTTCGCTGTACAATCGTGCGCTACTCATATGCGAGTCATAAATAGTCTCAACTTTACGTCTCACGAGTAACACACTTATGATACGATCGTATGATCATATGATTGTCAGGGCATTGAAAGTTCAGTGCATTTATCAAACACTACGAGTCGAGTAGAGTTTACTCGAAAACCGGGGAAAATCCGTACTTTAGTCAACTGGCAATGCAATGGCATTGAGCCGAAAAAACCCTAAACAACAGTTTCCTATTGGCAAACGTCATGAGAGAAAACGGAGTGTTTCGTAGCCATTGGTTTAGGGGATGACTTTGACGAGTATTTCGGGGATTTGGACGCCTATTGTGAGCTATTATAGCGTTTGCCATATTTATTGAGGCGTTTATGGTATTTACGGACTGTTTTTGTATGCATTGAACGGCAGTACAGAGACAACACATACACAGCGATAGACAGCACTCACTGAATGTTACTTTCATTTATGGTTTCGTTTAGTCTCTCGTTTTCAAACACCACTTATTAAATCACTATTTAATCGTCGATTCAATCAATTAATTAGTCGTTTCTCACTCTCTCGTGTGCTATCATAATGTCCACAACGAGTGTATCACTGGTTTTGCTGGCGTTTGCGTTGATCCGTAAGTAAAGACTTGTGTTTTTTTGGTCTTAATTTTGTTGCTGTTTTTGCTGTCATTTTCATGGAAATGATTTGCAAATCAATTGATACTATATTTGATTTGATTGAGTGTATTGTCGGTGTGTTTGGCGATCACACAGTGTGTATAGTATTAGTCGTGAAAATCGTATTGAATTGCGTTTAGTATTAGTTATTATTGATTTGTATTTTTAGCCCCACTTTTGATAACCATTTCCCTAATTAAGCGATTATTTTGTTGTATTTATTTATTTAATTATCGTATAATGGCTGCGGTTTTGCGTTATTTTTATGGCTTTTAAAGATAATCTTAATGTAAATCTCGTTGATATCACAGTCGAGACAAAGACCGTATGTATCCACTCATGAGATCTGGACGTCTGGTAGTCGTATGAATGAGTCGTTAGTTTTTCAAACACTTTGTATTTTGTTATGAATTTAGGGTTTATTTTAGGCGACAAAACGGATGTCAATATTTTGCAGAAATAATTTTCAATTTATCGGCGGTTTTGACGTAAATTTAATGCTCACAACCGTTTAGGCTGTATATGTGTGGTTAGTTCACCAAATTGGGAGTACATAATAGCGTTGAGTTTATTATAAGTCTAATCACTATTTGATTGCTTATTAATAAGTGATAAGTGTATGGTTTTTGTCTGATTAGTGGCTGAAGTGTATGTGTCGTGTAAATGGCAAAGACTGTATGAATCCAATGGTAAACACTATTTATTAATGAGATGTTTGAGTCAGTGTTTGATTTATTATTACATAATCTTGTTTTTTGCTAAATAAATATCAAAATGCAATGTAATTATGTTTTTGTGTGTATTGCCCAGACGTTCACCACTTTGTTTGATGTGTATTTGAATTTTTAATTCACATTATGAAAAAATAATACATTTTTAAATGTTAGGCAAAGTTTTAGGCATTTTTTGCGTAAATATTTAGGTGTAGTGTTTGACTCTGAATTGGTATCAGATTTTATTTGTGTAACTGTATTGTCAGTTAATTATATTCCGAGTCATTTGATTTGATTTCAAGTATATTTATGTGTGTATAAAATGATAACAGTTTTTGTTATAGAGGTTTGGTGTTTGAGATATAATTAATTGATTTTATTTTTCTATCGAGTCATTGAATGTATAAAATTGAATACATTTTTGTATGCAGTTTACCAGTCAATTGTGTGTTTTGTTCAGACAATCGGACAAATAAATGCGATTAAAAATCAATCAAAATCTATAACATTGAAAATGACAATAAAAAACGTGACTTTGAATTATAAATAGATTTCCAATTCAGGGAAAGGGGAGGTATGGGAAAGGTTAATATGTTATATAACCCAAAAACGCAAACTTTACAATATTTTTGAAAAGAAAAACAAATTTACTAGTCTATTGTTAGCCATATTATGTATAATTAGTATGTTTTCAATACACACACAATGTATTACATAATATAATGAGTTAAATACCATTTGCGATGCGATATCATGAGAGGTACAGATGAGCTGTCAGTCCCTTTAAAACATTGGCGTGACTTATGTTTTCTTTGAATGTATAGACAAATACACTTTTGATATGTATATTCGCTATACTCTTGTGGTTTGATATTCAATATGCATTGAACTCTCGGTTTTTTATATGCGATTAATTAAAATGCAATGTTTTGTCGCATTATAACTATTTTTATGCAATTATAAGTTTGACTAAAAGTTAATTATAGAAATACTTGAAGTGCTAGTCATGTGTTTGTTAAGCGATGGATGTGTTTGTATATAGGATTTTATGTGATTTCAAAATTTTAATGAAATGTATTTTTAATTTTTTTTCAATTTCATTGACAGATCTGTGCACTGCTCAGACGGCTGTCCAACAGTCCCAGACCACCGCCAATCCTGCAGTCAATATTACGCCCTCAGCGGCACCCATAGTCAGCACCAGCGCCGTCCCCGCCAATGCACCCAAAAGCGAGCCAAACGCCAGCCCCACGACAACTATTGCTCCGGTGTCCACTACGGTGACGCCTGTGACACCCCCTCCCATACCCAAACCGGAGCAGTGGAACGGGAACGTCACGGAAGGCAACATGACCTGCATTCAGGCACAGTTCGCCATACAAGTGGTCGTCAAATATAACGATACAAACGGCAAGGAATTGGAGGGCGGGTTCGTCATACCCAAGAACGCCACTGTCAGCGGCAACTGCGTCGGACAGACTGACCCCTTGGAAGTGATGATCATTAAGTTCACGAATGTGGGCAACACTTCGGCCACTTTGACGCTTAAGTTCAACCAAACTGAGGGCAATAAAACGTTTTACGTGACGGACGTGGAGTTGTCGTTCAATTTGACGAGAGAGCTGTTCCCCGACTTTGTTGACACAAAGCTCTACAGTATGTCGTGATTTTGAACGCTGTATTCAATTGATTGGTGTTTTGTAATGAACTCATTGTATGATTGCAGACACGACTGTGAAGGCTTCAAACCCAAGCGCCGACCTATTCAGTGTGGCCTCAGCTCACGCGTACACCTGCGCCACTCAGTCCGTACAGCTCGAGACACTGCCCGCGGGGGTCAAAGAGATTCAAATCGACTTCACGTCGTCCAAAGTGGCCGCTTTTATGGACCATACGAAAGGACAGTGGGATTCCGGTATGCGTTGTGTTTGTGTCGCTATTTCTGATGCATTTCTTGACCATTTGTTTGCACACAAAACGCGTGTCTTTAGCTGACGTTCAGGAGGCTTTAGTCACTACACCACGGATATCGACAGCCGCGCCGCGACCGCCCTGACCACCAGTATCACAACTAGCGCATGAAGTAACCGGCTTCCCGTAGCCGTCGACTCGCATATCAATCCGTGTAGTGTAGCGCCAAACCAATTGAATTGAATCGTGTTTTTTGATATGATTTTAATTGTAATTTTCGATCTAAACTAAAGAACTTAGACTTCATTTTAACGGCGGTTTAAAGTGAAGGTTTAAAATGTAATATATATTATAAATAAGTTAATAATTTTGTGAAAATTAATTTCTATTTCTAAGTATGATTTGAAACTTAGTTTTGGTTATATTTTATAAGAATTTTCATCAATTCTCTACTCTATTGCTGTTTTAGTTGAATAACAATTGAATTTAGTTTTTGTTTTCTCCGCTCTTTATTTACTCTCAAATTTCTCGAAACCTCTATTTTTACACAATATTCCTGTTGTTTAGTCTCAAATTAATTATTTTTCAGTTTATTATAACTTGTTTTTATTTATAGCTCTCTCTTAACAATCGGTTTATTTATGATATGAAAAGTTATGTCGTTTTTTATCTCCGAAACCGTTTTAATTTGAATAATAAATTGAATGAAAAAACTTTTCGCTAAAAACACATTCGTCTAAATACTGTACAGATCTGTGATATCCAATAGAAATATAATTAACAATTCAATTAACACTTGTTTTTGTCATTTCGTCACTTTTTGTCCTCCGATTCCTCTCTTATAACTCTTACTCTTGTTTCTCGTTTCGTTTCAAACACTTAATGATTAATAAAAACAATTTTATGTATGAAACGGCCTTTTATTGTAAGTAATTGTTTGAATACACAGTAAATACTGTAATAATAAAATGTATATAGTTTGGGGGTATTGATAGACATGAATGCATTGCTTTTCATCCAATTATTCATATTTAACGCTAATTCTGACTGAATTCTGGACCCAATTGTATGAACGGATGAGGTCACCTCTTCAGCCGTCGCTGTTATCCTCGACCATAAGAGAGGGACAGACCCTCTGAGGGATTCAATTACTACCGTTCCGTATGCGAGGCCGTGAAGACTAACTCTGCATGGATTAGGAGTAATCTACACCTGTATAAGCCATAAGCCACTCTCACTGACACCCCTTCCCCACAGTCTGTGCCAAAACACTAATCACTTTCCCATTGAATGGTATGTTTAGAACAGATCTGTGATATCCGATAGAAATATTCGTTACTTTTTTGTCCTCCGATTCCTCGCTCTTATAACTCTTACTCTTAATTCTCGTTTCGATTCAAACACTTAATGATTACTAAAAACAATTTCATGTATGAAATACAAACACCGAATGTAACAAATTGTCGTCAATAGTAATAATTGTTTTACAAGAAAAGTAAAAGTATTTTATTTACACTTTTTTGATGTGAATTACAGTTTAATTAAATAGCATTTAATGTGCGGTTCGTATGGGTGGGGGAAGGGGTCGCCTACTGTTGCGGTCGCCGAACGGTTCCCATGAAGAGTATGAAATTGGTGGCCACGTCTCGGATCAGGTAGAGGAAGGGCCGGTTGGCCACGAACTGTGTGGGAAACACCGGACGCCCGGAACGCCCGTAGATCATGGCTGTAGCGGCGGCCGCTTCGGTGCCCTCTTCGTCGACAGTGATGTACGACTTGTGGACCACCGAATTGAGCGCAAACCCATCGCCACCTTTGCCGCCCACACTACTGGTGCTGTTGTTGTTCGTGGTGTCGGTGCTGTTGTGGGCGAACAGTGCGGACAAGTCGGCGAATCGCGGGTCAAACAGCTTACGAATGCCGATGGAGTAGAGAGGGCCGGCCAACTCGAACTGGTGTTCCGCCTTAAACTTGGGTAACTGGACGGTCACCTCGTCGTCGTACATGTTGGCCACCAGCTCGTAGAGGTCGGCCGGCGCTACCGACCCTATCAACGAGTCGAGCCCTTTGCCCACATCGGGCAGTATGACGACCATCGAGTAGTCCGGGTTAGCGTAGGGCAGGTCGACGGCCGTCGCCTGTAGCCGCTCGGACACGCCGTACATGACGGTGATCTCGGCCGACATCATGGGCACCTGTATCTCGTCGGTGGGCGACATATAGAACGTGGCGTTTCTCGTGCTCTCGGCGCTGAATTGGTTCAACCATTTGGACTGGAAGTACACAGCGTTTGCGATAATCATTTTAGTCCACGGGTTGATCGCGCCGTTCGGTATGAGGTCAGTGATGCGGCCGTTGGTCTGCTCTTTGACCCACTCGTTGATCTGATCCATGGATTGCGTGGGATTTGTGCTGAAATTCATTTGCCTGACATCGGTGTCGAAGTATTCGGCGAAACAGCGGTTCAATTGGAGCTCATTGTTGACGAATATTCTGTTCGCTTGACTGAGGATTGTCTTCTCGGACGACGGGTCCGATACTTTGGACATATTCTTCTTGAGGTCGTTCCACAGCTTCAATCCCTGATACGCCAAACCCACCGACGACTTGGATATGGTCTGCAGCCGTAACCTATTCCTCAGCTCCGTCTCCGTCTCTCCACTGGCGGCCATATATGTGATGATAAGCGTCGACCAGATAGACGATGGGCTCAGGAGGAGACCTGTCGTCGAGTTGTCTTTGGGCTGAAACTTATGCAACGCTTTCAGCAAATCAAAGGCAAAACTATGGGAGCCTTCGATGAGAACGCGCGACAACTCTGTGGGACTTAATGTCGAGACTTTGTTATCAGTCAAGTGTTGGTCGTGCTCTGAGATAAAGCAATCCACTGGTGCTGTGGTGTCGGTGTCCTCGTCATCGGTGGTCTCTTTCTCTTTGATCTCTTCGGTGTTGGCGTGAAGTACGCGAAGAGTATTGCAGATCAGGAACAATGTTATGAGAAGTTCTCGTAAGCAATGCATTGCTTTGTTTTATGGCTAAAAGTTTTTTCGTATCCAAATGGATAGTGGAAAATAACAGTGAAAAATGAATGATAAAGTGATTTGAATTGAGACTTACTTGTGTAGTCAATATTTATATGATATGTAATTATTAGTATAGAAATCGGCGATTAGTTTCACAGCGATGATTGTGTTGGGGATTACACACAGGATTTTCAAGGCCTGTCCACCAGTGGTTTCCCCCGCGATTGTGTTTCTTCGAGTCGATAATGATTAGTGTTATTAGTATTTAATGATAAGTTCAGAGCGCTTGAAAAAACAAACAAAATCTGTAGTCACTAAATGTTTGCACAAAATCCGATGCAATTCTTGACACCAATAACTGGAAAATGTTTTTGCATTAGTCGTTGAAAACTTTATACGAAAACCTGTGCATCCGATGTGTATTGATATTACAATACGTTATGCAATAATATTTAAAAACTTAGTTATCTATCCACAGGTTTTGTTGTGCGGTATTTACACATCAAACCAAACGCTGTATTCAAGTTTTGGTCAGTTGTTTGAGAGCGTATAAAATGCCACAAATGCTTAGGTATTGTAACAGAAAAATATTTTTCATGAATAGGATATGAGAGTCGATACTCGACTTAAAGGCTCGACTTATGCCGAGACTTAACTTAGTTTTTTGTGAAAATCAGGTCGTGATCTCCACTGTTAGCTGTAGTCCTTACTGTTTTAGTGTACAAACTGTGAAATGTTTAGAAGTTTTTGCACCGAAAACTCTAGAGGCATGACATCAGTCGAGATGTGTATTGTCTCTGTGTTTAAAAAGTCTTTCCAAACAATAAGAAAAACATATTTTGCTAAAAGTCGACGTCAGAGGTGTATATCTATTGAAAAACTGGTCGCTTCACTGATATTCAAGCACTTTATGCACTAAACAAATGGTTGGAAATAAAGTTTTTATGAAACAATTTTAA